AACGAAATTACTGCTATAGCATCCATTGGTTTGTGTGTCAGAAATTCCTCACGGTTGTGATGCGTTCCCTATTGCATGAGTATGCTGGGGAGTGGGTTTATGATTAGATCTCGAATGCAATGTGGAGTGGGACAATTCCTCAGATCTGGGCTGGAACAATTAGCATAAGTGCTTCTCCAGGTTTGTTGCCAATTGTATCCTATCAAAATACCAAAATCTAGCTAATTAGGTTGACTAGAATACAACAACTGTACTGGACAATATGAAGGATATCTAAAGGAAGCTGACTTGACTTTCATTCCGCATCTTGCTCCTGATTGGACTGGGCAGGCACAATACCCTTTCATAGTTCTGGAGTCTGGGTGGTCAGAGTCAGAACTATGACTGAGAGAAGATGTGCATCTCGGGCTGGTTGGGTTGGGTGGCCAAGTACGGGTTGTCATTCAAGTGAAGTTTTACAACCGGCAGGATCGTATTGGAGTACATGTGTGCATTAATCAGGCCAGGCCAACTAACAACTCAATTACAACCTCCATTGCAACCTATGCAAGGCCCTCCTATATTTTAATACAATTTAACTTTGTTACTAATAGGCCATTTTAATCAGTAGAAAGTCTTTCCCATGCCTACCCCTCCTGTTGGAAACCCATCAATCACGTTCGAGGAATTCTGTGCTGGTGGTTTTCTTCTTGGAATTAAACCCAATAGACATCTTGTCTTCAACCTCCAGGAGCTTTGTGTTATTGCAAGGTGGGAGATCCTTGCTTATGGAAAGGTTCCAGGTGAATGAAATTGGTAGGTCCCCAATAAATGTCAGCATGACCCAAGAAGGCATAGAGGGGCAGTATGTAATCTCTATATTTTGCTTTTATACCTTGGCTGTAAGCTATCCACTTGGATATTTTGCCACCCTGGATTCAAGATCTGCACCCAAGTCACCATCTGGTAATGGATGTTACACACTTCCTCTCTAATGTGTCTTGTGTTATAGAAGATCTGTAACGTATAACTAATGGTATAAGCAGTAGTGGTGCTGGTCACATGGCGGATTACAGCTGGAGCAATACTATGGATGGGTCATTTGTGGGGGCCGGTTAGGGGCTATGGAGTCATGGTATCATTCTGGCTATAATGATGCAGGTGTGAGATATGTTATTTCAGCCTATGGATGTTTATAATTTGTAATAAACGATTCGTGGGGTGAGTGACTTCTCTTTTGCATCAATGATTTAAGGTGGTTGCAGATTGTGTGAACTTAGCTCACAAAGCATGCTTTTAAGGGGATAATATGGTGACTTTTTTCTGGGAGGAGGGGGAGGCTACTGTTACTCTAAACCCATTAATAGTATTGAACCCTCTCCTAAAGTATTCACATATCACTTCCTGTACTTCTGCAACTGTCAGGATCCTATAACCTGTGCCAAAACTCTAGGGATAGTAGAAACCACATCAATATAGACCGTCCCCAGTATTTACGTTCTTTTTCATCTTCATACCGCCTGCTCTGTTTTGTCCTCAACTAAACAGTTAAAGGATAAAGTGATGCCACAAATGAGCACATAATAGTATACAGCCACCCGTGTCAGGAATCTCAATTTACAAGTAAAAAATACCTTCCAATCCGTACAATTTCCTTGCCCTGCGGACTGTGAAGCGGTAGGAGTGTTTCTCTTTTGTTCTCACATGATTATATAAGGACATGTGATTGTGTGGAGAAGGAGAGAAGAGTTGTGGCAGACATTATTATAAGAATATGGAATACGAAAGATTGATACCAGTGAGAACCAGCATCTTCCAGTGTGTGAGAAACAGAAACTATACAGTACAAATTACAACACAGATAAGGATACTCTGGGATCCACAGGATGATAGGAGAACCATCAACGTGCCTGGGTTCCCTGCACCACATCTCACAGGGCCAGCGCTCTCCATGCCCCCTATCCCTCAACTTCTTTGCAACACCCATTCCCCCATTAACGATCTCCAGACATTCCCCAACATGATTTCTCACATCCGCCAACTGCTCCAGCACAAGACGTTTCCTGTTGGTGTCCAAGCTCGACTTGTGGTCGTCAAACCCCTCTGTATTTGGCAACCCGTACATCCTGACTTGCACATCCGATTTAAAGATCTTATTAGCCACCGGAAAGGACAAATGGGGAGCTGGTGCTCGGGGTGAGGAGGTTGGAGTATTTCCGCAAGCCAGAGAGGATATTGTCGCTTGCCTCTTGCAGAGAGCTCAGGACGCAGGCTAGCTTCTGGGCCTTGTCATCAGTTAGATCAAGATGAAGATGGCGGGAGGGGTCCATTACGGCTGATTCTTCTTCCGCTTTCAGCGTGTCATCTTTGGGTTGTGGGGGGGTAGAGGGCTCCCGCCATAGGGCCGATATCGTCATGCCAATAGGACTAGCTGACATTGTTCCGTTATAGTATGAGTATCATGCAATGGTTGGTTTTGTTGGAGCAAGGAAGACCTCTGCGCTACAACACATCTCATATCATAGAAAAAGGAAAAAAACCCTTAGGGTAAGTTAGAAATGCTTGAGACATCGGGTCACAGCCCCATCACGCATCTGATACCATCCTGCCATTGTCAACGCCAACGCCAACGATGAATCCATTGGTGAGACCGGCCATCAGGCGAATGGGTCTACGAGTACTGGGGAAGTTCCCAAGGTTGGCTCCGCATCCCGATTCGCACCCTTCACATCCTCATCTCGACCACCCAATTACGAGGGTCACGTTCCGCTCAGTTTTCTTGAGAGAGGATTGTCATCGTGGTGGGTTTGGCAGTGATGTCGCTATTGAACGCCCGACGAGGAGGTATTTTCTTTTACTTTCTCAGTTCAGCCTATATCCCGAACTACGATAGTTGTTTTGTTCTTTATGTATACGGCACGAACCACCACCCCTACCGGGATTGCTAATATATAAGTGGACTTGATCGCAGCTCTCGTGGAAGCCACGGTGACGCCATACCTAATACACAGGCTCCGGGATGCTATGCTATCCTCCTCTACCGGCCGGAGGATTCTCAAGGATCGCGCAAGGATTAATTCCACTACGGTGAGCTTGGAGTGGCTACGGAATTTACCGGACGTTACCATGGGCAGGGAATATGCAGCGTATCTAGATAGGGAGAGCGTCTCCCTAGATACCGCATCTCTGGTGTATTGCTCTCCCCACATAAATGCACTAAGGATCTCTAAATGTATCGTTGGACATCTTGTTATATTCGAATCAACAGAGTTTTGACTATCGTTGGGAGAAGTACAGCCGGACTAGAGTCTTGCGACCTACGTAGGGGGGGAGAATATCGGGAATGGATTGCTAACGAGAAGCGGGTACGATGTGTTGATGATCCTGAATGAGCCTATGTTATGCAGAGATACCGGGAGTGTCACAACTTCTATCACGCTCTTACAGGGCTACCTGTCATAGCTGAGGGAGAGGTTGTTTTGAAGGCTTGTGAATTTGCAAATACACTTCTTCCCAGGACTGGTCTAAGTATGTTTGTGGTTGTGGGGCTGGGGCCGGGGGAGGGGGGGAGGGTCCTAACCAGGTGCTTTCCTTGCGCTATCAGAAACGGATTGCAGGCCAAGGAAGTGATCAGCATCTATTGGGAAGAGGAGTTGGAGACCGATGTGAAGCAGCTGAGGAAGAGAATCGGCTGGCAGAAGCCTCCAGAGTAAGCCTTACGATATTTGAACATTGGAATCGGCGCTCATAAGACGCATTCCCCGCTGTATGATTTCAACTTCGCTTGTATCAGAGGTCCAAGCGCTAGGACTATAGTCCCTATAGTCCGTCCCATCCTGACCTGCCTGGGTGTAGTCCGTCTTAATAGTCCTAAAAAAACATACTACCGGTATGTGCTGTAGTCCATCCCAACCTCACCCGAAGAGGAATGGACCGGTTGATAGTTTTAACATCCTAAGGCATTGTCAGTAGCAAAATAACCATTCGGGAATGTGAGGGTTTCTTGAACGAGTAAGGTAAACAAAATCATCTTCTAGGTGGAAGATATACCACTCGCTTGGGATATGGGACACCGAAGGGGTGCAATTGGCGCCTTGGGCAGGAGTGCCATTGGCGTTGCTTTTGGCCTCGCGGCTTGGTTCTGGTGCCTTATGTGGTAGGATGGCGAAATGAAGGGGCATTAAATTCTCCAGTAGAGTCTCTGAGAGATTAACCTGGGGGTATAAATAGAGGAGATCATGTTTGGGAAGCAGGTTATTATTGCAAGGGATGCGAGATGCCCGGAGTTTGTATTCGAAGGTAGAGAAAAAGGGTTAAAGAGAGTGTCTGGCATTTTATGGAAGTAATAAGGACTGCTCTTTTTAATATGGGTATATCTCTGGGCCATGAGTGGACACCATTTTTTGGAATAGCACTTATGGACCCATACAAATTACAGGAAAAACTGGTGAAATTCCAAATTCTTAGTCAAAAATACTCTAGGAAGTTTTAGTATTGCCTGATATGGTAAAGGTCAGCCTCCTGGACCAGTTGGATCTCATTAACTGGTATTCGTGATTCTATTAACCTGTCAAACTAAGGCTACTGGGGCTGCCGGGTAATTGTAATAGGCCAACAATCAACTTTTTCTCATCGCTTGCAGAGCAGACAACCCCCTCCCTCACCTTGGATTCTCAAAGCCTCCAACGGATATCACCATCCTCTTTATCTGCTACCGACATTGTGGAACGATCACCGCCATGTTTGTCCAGGAAGTTCATGGCGACCAATCTCGTGCCGCCTCACAAATAGACCTTCACGAATGTCCTTCCGAGTCCACCTCCAAACCAGGTGTCTACCAAACTCCTCCCCCCTCCCAGGCTACATCAGAAGTTCTATCGCCTGATGGACCATTTAACATACATTACTATCTTACTCAAGGGTTAGGGGATGCAGTCCATAGAGAATTTGTGGATAACCACTCTTTTGCAGGGGCAGTTAAGTCACAAACAAAGGCGTTACGTATTCGTAATAGGGGATAGTACCTTGTATTTTCCCCGGTAAGCGAAGAACAACTTGCAAAGATCGAACGCCTACGCGATGCAAACTACAAACAACTCCATTTCCTCTACATCAATCCAGCACAGACTTTGATTGTTAAACTCCTGCCGGGTCCAATTCATGAGGCAGCGACAAGCGAGTTTGGCCGCATGCTATGGAAGAAGATAGCCAGAATGGGTGCCGACCTGGACGAGGATCTACGTGACATGCGGGGTACAAGGTACAAGGGGGTTTCGAGCAGTAAGGAGGCTGATTCCGCTTTTCGACCGAATTCATCCCGTCCTGATAAAGCAAACTGGCCTACAGTGGTAGTTGAATGTGGGGTGTCGGAAACTCTGGAACGCTTGCGTGTTGACGCCAAGTGGTGGCTTCATAACTCCTTCAGGGATGTCCATATCGTTTTGCTTTTTGCGATCAAGGAAATCGGGCAAGAGATTCTGATAGAGCAATGGGAACTTTGCCCTACTGAGAATCAGGCCATAACCCGCCTTCATTCCAAGGATATTATTGAGATTCCCACATGCACTGCATCTTTTAATATTCTCCCAGTTGACACTGCCAAACCGGATGCTTTCACTCTGGTTGCTGCATCCAATTCGGACGCTCCTGCAGTCACCCCAGTCAACCCTTCCGAACCTGCTGCTGTCGCACCGGTTAACCCTTCGCAATCTGTTGCTGTTATCTCCGCAGATGATACCAAGCCAGTTGTTATCAGAGAAGGTATCAAATTGAATTTCGAAAAGATCTTTGCTCGTAAGCCACTCAAAGGTAGCTTGGAAAAAGATATCGAATTTACTAGGCGGGATCTTGAAAAGTGGGCGCAGATGGTTTGGGAGTAGAGATATTCAGAACTGACTTCCACTTGAATTAGGTAAGTTTCTACCTACATGCCATGTCAGATATTTTTGCTCACATAGTAGAATAATAGCGGTTCTATTGTGGGAAAATCGAGGATCCTCTATGGGCATTATATTTTTATGCGAACTCTTTCTAGGGTTAGTGGTGGGAGGTGGGAGCTTTACTATGGACGCGTTCTCGATTGTCATTATTTTTTTCTTCTACCTTTTTCCATTGCATGTATTATAGTCATCATGATATTGGATAACCAGCCACAGGCCCTCAGTCAAGTAAATAAATTGTGCTGGTATTATAGCTATGTTAAGGACCACTCTCACCTCACAAGGGTAAGGGGATTTGGGCCGATTACGGAAGCTGTAAGGGTTGTGAAGTACAGGTATCGTATCATAGGGATGCCAGTGGGTTACCATTGAAACCTAAACAATTGCGCGGCGAGCGAGTGATAGCTGGAGGGTTTGCATTAGACGCCCAGGGGTGTTAGTTTTGTTGTTGGGTTGCGTATTATCCCAGCAGAGAGGGAGGGAGAGGGTCATTGTTAAGGGTTGGGTGCGCTCTTCTTCTCCTTCGTCTAGCTCCCCTTCCCTACCTGGTGATTTTTGAGCCGGGCAGAGACAAATCGGAGACAATCTCCCGAAGCCCTTCTAAACTTGGTGTGGCAATGTCTCTACTAGAGGCCTTTAAGTCATCCAGATACTCTATATGCTCACCCAACAACCCCTTGACAATTTGTACGATTCTTAGTGATCGTCTCCTCCACACACCCACCCAACACCTCATGCAAGGCCTTGAGCGTGGTAGACATCTTGACTGGATCCTCACCCTCGCTGTTCCGTCCACCCAGCCAAGTCCTCAAGTTCCCCCAGAAAAAGTGATTAAAGACACCACCGCTAACCCTACCATCTCTAAAGCCACAAGAAGTCTCGAATCCTGACCTCATCTCTTTCAACATCGAACCCCGCAACACCCTCAATCCGCAACCGGATCTCGATCCCACCCTCGCTCCCAGGTCTATCCTCTCATGCGTCACCATTGGAATATAGTGTCCGCGCTTGAATCCGCTGAAGGGCCGATAGGTTGGGGGAGATCTTTATGTAGGTTTTTAGGAGCGCGAAGGTGGCTTCGTGCGAGGCACTTCTTCCGGTCGACTTTGCCAAGTTGGTTAGCGCGCATAGGGGGAGATTATTCAGGCTATGGATCGTTGCGGCGGTGTAGGGGGCGGGGGGGCGGGGAAGGTAGGAGGATTTGTAGGCGGTGAAGAGCGCACGACAGGTCAATTCCCGAGACCTGGGGTTTGGTATTGGGCCATTTGGCTGCGTCATCTTCTATCTCGGCAACCAGGGGCCTTCGCAGTGAGGCTTCTGATGTTGTTGATTTGGCGAGTTGAGGGAGCCTTCCAAGGCAAGTAGTGGTTAGGGGAGTTTTCTTCTGCTCCTCGCTTACCTTCTTGAGAATAACCACCTCCTCGATCAACCCCTCCGAAATACCCAGATCAAACCTTGATATCAATGGTACAACCAACACCATCTCTCCCGTCTCTTCAATCCCCCTCCCTTTCCTCCCTAGAACATTCAATATTTTGAACCCAGCTGCCCACAGCATCAGCACATCCTCTGAATCCAACAGCTCCAGCGGTTCAGCATGGACTTTAGAAAAGTACTCAATCACATTTGCCCAGCTCGGGACAGCGCATGTAATCTTGGAATCGTTACTCAATGCCTCAAAGGACAAATTTGGAGGTATTGAGGGGGAAGAATGCACGGGAGCGTCGGTCGACAGGGACAGGTCAATTATACCCTCAAAGGTAATTGAGTAATTCTCCTGGCCAAGGCAATAAAATATCAAGACGGTGGTTATCCCATAAGTGGTCAAGACACTCTCGTCCGGTTTAATGTCTAAAACACTAGCCTATTTGGGTGGCCGTGATAAGAAAAACCCTGCTGTTCATAAGAGGTGAAGTGCTCAGAATATCGCAAAATCCATACTGCCTAGCATGGCCGTGATGGAAACAAGAAACCCTCCGTATATTTACTCCCAATTACCCAAATAGTCTAGTGACAGTATCCCTTACCTCCCACATGGTGTTGTGATCATGATATCATAGTTCACGGTACTGATTGCAGTAACTCCTTGTGGAGGAGGGGGGAAGGCTAGCACCCGGAAGCCGGCTTGAGGAGTGGAAATCGTCCCCCCATGTTCCTCAGTCGACTTGGCAGCTCTTGGCCAATCATCTGCCAGCCCGAATTGAAAGACCACCGTTGCCCAGTTACATTGAGGACCCCTAATCTTACAATGACAAGTTCCAATGACTCCATATCCTTACTGTTCCGCACCTCCTCCACCCTCCCCCTCCACCGTCCCGGGCCAATGCTCCGGTACTCGTCCGTCATTCGATTGGGATCCCAACACCGTAAGCCAAGGACGGGTCAATCCCTCCCAGCACAACCAGATCCAGTACACATATTATCACTCTAACCTCCGCGGGACTGACTAACGGTATCCCGGTACGCTCCGTGTTTGTCTGCGTTTGAGCTTGGAATTTGAGGTTCGTAAGGAGGGTGAGCGTGTGAATTACGACTGACACTGCGGTAGATCTTTCATCCTCGGATAATGGTGGCACTGCCGAGAGTGCTTGGGAGAGTTGTTGGAGGAGTGGTTGGGTCAAGAACTCCTATGCCAGTGATCTCCTGCAGAAAGAGAACTTACATTTCGAATGAACTGCTCAGTATATGGAGTGCGCTTGGTGTATATGGAGAAGGGAGAGCCAAAAGTGCTTTGACCTGTCATGAATTCAAATGTGTCAAGCAGGTTTCCGCCATTGCTGAGTGAGGTTTACTGAATGTATGAAGACAAGACAAGAAAGTCTCGGGGTGGGTAAAGTACGAGTAGAAAAATCGCCCAGTTGCGACCTCCTTATCCACTGTAAGATGCCTTTAGTAGCAGCTCAATGTCGATAGTGACTCGACATGCAAGGGACCTAGCCAGTATCGAAATTCAGGGAGCCGAGATCGTCAGTTAGGGCATCACAGAGCTCATGTTGTCCTCGGTTTTTGTTATCATAGACTACTAGACCGTGAGAGCCCTTAGTGAGGCCACACTCTTAGTGAGGCTTGGCAATATTTAGTAGCAAAGAGATTAGATAGCCAAGTCGCACTGTGTCTCACTCAAGATGTTGCCCCACTGAGGGCTTTCACAGTTTAGTGGTTACTCAGGGTCTGCAGAATCAGCTGACCCGGCAACTTACGTATGACATTGCCACATCCCCCAAACTCTAGTCAACCACTCTCTTGCTCTAGCTCTCTCATATCCATCCCCTGTAATGTTTAACTCCCACTCTATTTCTCCAGTTCATTCAGGAAATCTAACCTTTGGTTCTCCAAGCAGGTCAGCCAAAATCTTTAAACAAATTTTAAATACGATCAAGACATGTAGTCCCAACCTTTTAACCTTTGATGGTGTGGAACCTCCCAACTTTGGTCATGTCGTGCAAGGGTTATGATATCCTGCAAATAACCTTGAACAGCACTCCTTTCGGTTACCATGCTCTCTCCCCCTCCCCTTCATTCAAGTTCCATGTAACTAAATTGCTACTATAGAATCCATTGGTTTGCATGTGAGAAATTCGTCAAGGCTGTAATACCTTCTACATTGCATGAGTGTGCTGGGGAGTAGGTCTATGATCAGATCTTGAATACAATGCTGAGTAGGACAATGCCTCAGATCGGGGCTGGAAAAATTGGTATAAGTGCTTCTTCAGGTTTTTTGTCAATTGTGCAATATCAAACTACTAAAATCTAGCTAATCAGATTGACTAGAATACAACAACTTTACTGGGCAATACCAAGGCTGTCTAAAGGAAGCTGACTTGACTGTTGTTCTACATCGTGCTCCTGATTGAACTTAGAAGGTACAATATCCTTGCATAGTGCTAAAGTCTGAGTGGTCTGAGTCGGCATAATGACATAGAGAAGATATCTATCTCTGGAAAGTCAGGTCCAGCGGTCAGGTGCAGGTCATGATTTAAGTAAAGTTTTACGACTGGCAGAATCATATTGGAGCATGTGTGAGTGTTAATCAGGCTAGGTTGACTAACAATACAATTGAAGCCTCTATTGTAATCTCTAGAATGCCCTTCTATTTCCTAATACAACTGACTTTGTTACTAATAGAGCAGGTTGATCTGTAGAAAGTACTTCCACTGCCTGCTACTCCTGTTGGAAACCCACAGATTATGTTCGAGGAATTCTTTGTTAGGAGTTGTCTTCCTGGAATGCACCCCAATGGATATATTGTTTTTAACCTCCAAGAACTTCACGTTATTGTAAGAAAGGAGATTCTTGCTCATGGAAAGGTCCCAGATCAATTAATTGGGCAGGTCTCTAATAAGTATCAGTATAGCCTAAGAAGGTACGGAGGAGTAGTGTGTAATCTCTATATTTTTCTTTCATACCTTGGCTTTAAGCTATCAACTTTACCATTTTGCCACCTTGGATCCAAGATCTGTACCTACTGGCAAGTCACTATCTAATGGTCATGGTGGAGGTTAGACACTTTTTCTCTATTGCATCTTGTATCATGCAAGATCTGTAATATACAACTAGTGGTATAAGTAGTAGTGGTACCTGTTATATGGAGGATGTTAGTAAGAGCGATACTATAGATAGGTCATTTATAGGAGTCTGTTAGGAGTCATGGGATGATGGTATAGTTTAGACTATAACTGTACAGGTATGAGATATGTTTTTTAGCCTGTAAATGTTTATAATTTGCAATGAACCATTTCTGGAATAAGTGACTTCTCTTGTGTGTCAATGATTTAAGATGTTGTAAGTTATGTTGTAAAGGGGGCTCCCTCAGGTGGGTGGATCCTAAGGATGTGACCTTACCAAACTTCAAATCTCTGGAACACAGCTCTTGCAAAATGTAAAGAATAAAAGTAATAGCAAAACTTAATATTGTTAAGTGCAGGCTTATCACAATA